TATTTAAAGTATATGCTCTCTCGACTCACCAAATAGCTAAAGCTTACTTTCCTGGGAATCATGTAACATTTTGCTATGAATGCAACAATAATTGTATGTTGATTCTACGTACATTTTGTTTCAGCCAATTTTCATGATATTTACACAACAAAAACTTAAATGTTCACTGAAGCGTATTATTTGGTTGTCGGCTGAGTTAACCCTCTCCTGTTTATAAAACAATGTTCATGCAACCGAGTTGCTTTTAATTCCATCATAAGGGTGATTAAAAATAGGCCGATATCGGATTCTACCTTCGTATTTTAAAGGCTGATGGATGGATTGGTATGGATTTACGTTTTTACTTGTAAATAATATTTATAAAACTTCGTTCTTACGTAACAAGAATGAGATCTATACTGTTCCCTCTAAAATTATAACTGTAAGACTGTAAGAATAGTATTCTCTTGTTCGAAAGAAAGAAAAGAAATAATGTCTTCTTTTTTCACCCAATATTGTTGCCTAACACTCTGATAAGCACAAGGAGTCCTAGGTCAACAGCACTGTAGAGGGCTGGTAGTGAGTTTAGTGGTTCTGTTCGGTTATATGATTTACCACACTCCCCACGTCAGTACTGACCGACGTGGGCGTGCATTAGGCATTCACACAGTTAAAAAAAAAAGGTCAAACGAACTTATACATACGCATAGATTCGATCGCCTAGTGTACAGTAGTATGATAAACTTCTTGTGTGTAAAAAAGCGATCGAGTGAATCGGATACACAAATATGTTTGGTCCTTGAAAATGGTGATGATGATGATGATTGAATTCCCAAATAGGGGAAACGGGATTTCAAACTACTTATCTATTTAAAAGCTAAGTCTTACATAATAACATAGGGTAAAATTTATATCTGATAGAGTTCTATGGTCTATCAATTTGGTTTGTTCGATTATTTTGTGTTGTCTGTCGGTGTGGTTTATGTGAAACCATATAGTAGCAAAAACTAATTATAATTTTATTTTCGCTGTGTTTATTTAAATATAATTTCATCAAGGCAGTAGTAGGTCAGAGCGAAACCTCAGTATAATGGTGCTACAAGACTACAAGGACAAAGGACTGTATTGTATATTGTGAACGAAAGGTCAGGAGCGATCCAAGTATAATTTATATTCGAGCACTTTATGCGTAAGGTGTCGCTTCTTGAAGTATTTCGATTTTATTTGGTACGGGGTTTTGATCCGCTATATTTTTAGCCAGATCACGTGTCTCTTTTGACACTTTTTTAATTTTAACTTTTGTGAAACCAAGATTAGCATAACGTTTATTTGAATCGTTAAATACCCCAGCAATATAACAGGTGTGGTCGACTTAACTATGTCTATATTTTTTTGTGTTGTCAAATTTATACGCTGAAGAGTTTGCTATACATTTTAAATTATATTATTTTACATGTTACATAACATTTTACAATACGCTTATCAAGTAAACCGATGTTTTTGTTTGTCTAGTTATATACACTATTCAAATTCACACATGACTGTTATTTTAATGTTTAATATTAAAATGTCAAACAAATGGCTTGCGTTAGCTCGGTCTCCGAAGGGGCCACAGAATATCAGTGTTGGGACACAAGTCCCAACGTAGCTGAGTGGCTTCCTTTTCAGAGGCAACTAAATATTATATTTAAGTTTAATAGTATTTGATTTGAATTTTTATTTACTTCTTGATATAAGGTTAAGTTTCAATTGTAAATGTTGTTTCTGAATAAACGTATTCTATTCTATTCTATTTACTTGTATCAGAGAATGTTGCTTTATTCTTATCAGAATTAGTTTAAAAAGGTATGAGTAATTCGACTCTTGCGACAACATAATATTTTAAGTGGGTTAAATGAATGTTAGAGCCAAATCTATGATTAAACAGGCCCAGTTAGTAATAATTGATTCGTTCTTGGATAGTAATTTGTCGCTGATGCAGTGTTAAAGTCGACTGTCATTTGTTCATCTTTATCCAAGACATCAAAATTATAATAGCTCCTAATATCTAATACTATTATGATCTATTAGATCATAATAGTATTAGATGTAAGGTTGTAAAAAAAGTAAGATTTTTTTTTTAAATTATTACACTAAGAATCAAATTAGTTAAGGAAAATAACTGCTAACTAAAAAATAGCATTGACTTTGAGATATTTTGATTTTATTTCATACGATTTTTTCCTGATCACATCTAGCTTCATCTTCTTTTTAAAAAACAAACACAATATCCACTTGCGAATAAAACACCCTTGACCCTGAAAATTCCTCGAATCGTCCTTAGAACAAACACCTACATCTGATGTAAAAATAAATTCCATGGATGGAAAATCGTATAACTAAATCGACCTCAAAAAAAGATTCAGTTAAATTAGTAACTTAAACCACATATTTATGAGAATAACGTCTTAAATCTTTTAATTGGACTCACCTCTAGCGAATTATTACGCTTTTTTTATTTTTTGTTTTGAAAAAAATCCAAATATTCAACACATCACGATTATGTAATGTTTATGAACAGACACACACATAAATTAATTCACATTCATAGAGTCAGGTGATGGAATATCAGATATTCTCTTCATAGCGGCTGGAACATTCCGCTTCAGAGGTTTCAGGCTACTGAAGCCGCGAGCTCGAGCTGTAGCCTACAGGAAAACCTCGACCAGGAGACAGAATGAATTGAAGTAGCGGAAATAACATCTCTCTATCACACAACCAGCTATCCGCGTAAGAGAGAAAAGGACGTATATATGCCGCTCAGTACACGCGCAGTGCTGAACGAGTTTTCCCGATCAGAGCTCGTAGCATTGGGAAAAGCTCAATGGTTTAACGGTAATTCGTAATATTATTATCTTTTTAATGCAAACATAGTGGTAATGGCTAATAAGCAATTTATGGTGTATTATCGTAATATTAAACATGGTCGAAATCGACCAATAGCGTAATTAATAAATTTATTGTGCTACTTTTCCGACCGCACTATCGTTAAAAGATTACTTAAGACTCATTTTGAATTGATTTATTGTTAGATGGTATTATTAGTATTTTAATGGGTTCGTTTGGTCTAATGGAAGCAATATAATATTGCTAACTATCAACAGGGTTCGGTCCTCACTAGGTCTAACATGTTTCTTATCACTGTTTTTGAAACATAATGGACTGAGTCCAATGAATCTGAAAATCAGGATTTTAAATTAGTGGTAGGAATATTTAAATTTCGTTCAAGTCACAAACCACCGCGAAAACCATACACAGACGAATAAGTCGTGAAGTTTAATCGCGTTTCGGTTTCAGTGGATTCCAGCATATACAATGCTAAAATAGGGCGACAGCGCACCTCGTTATTCAAAATATATTAACTTCATGCTGTCTTCCTCTATTATGTAAACAGGGTACGAAATGCTTTTCTTAATTTAATAATATTCCGTTATACATACATTTTCACAGTGCATGAGTAGCAACGAAGTAATTAGCTGTAGAACGGTCCACAGAGGCTCTACGTAACTTAATTTTGTCGTAAGCAAAGCAAGCGAAGACTATCTATATTACTGATAGTTAAGTAACTAGCTGTGCCCGCGACTTCGTCCACGTGGAATAGTAACTTTGGGTAGAACTTTTAATTATTTAGGCTGTTTATTTATTTATTTTACAAATTGGATAAGACATTTGTGTTTCCCAAAAAAAAAAAATTTTTTCTCCCTTTTTTTTTTTTTTTTTTTTTTTTTTTTCCGTGTGTGGGGGTTTTTTTTTTTTTTTTTTTTTTTTTTTTTTTTTTTTTTTTTTTTTTTTTTTTTTTATTTTTTTTATTTCCCCCCACTTTTTTTTCCCCCCCCCCCCCCCCCCCCGCCCCACCCCTCCCTCCCCCCCACCCCCCCCCCACGCCCCCCCCCCAAAAGGGGGGGGGGGGGGGGTTTTTTTCCCCCCCCCCCCCCCCCCCCCCCCCCCCCCCCCCCCCCCCCCCCCCCCCCCCCCCCCCCCCCCCCCCCCCCCCCCCCCCCCCCCCCCCCCCCAAAAAAAATATTTCTTTTTCCTTTCCCCCCCCCCCCCCCCCCCCCCCCCCCCCCCCCCCCCCCCCCCCCCCCCCCCCCCCCCCCCCCCCCCCCCCCCCCCCCCCCCCCCCCCCCCCCCCCCCCCCCCCCCCCCCCCCCCCCCCCCCCCCCCCCCCCCCCCCCCTCTTTTTTTTTTTTTTTTTTTTTTTGTGTGTGGGGGGGGGGGTTTTGGTTGTTTTTTTTTTTTTTTTTTTGGGGGGGGGGGGGGGGGGTTTTTTTTTCTTCTCCTCCCCCCCCCCCCCCCCCTTATAGCTTAAACTTATATTTGCATTAACTTACTAAAAATTTAAAATAATTCAGTAATTACAATTTTTATATACATAAATATTATAAAGCTGATAAGTTTGTTTCTAGTTTGTCTTGTACTGTTGTTCTGGTACAGGCGAAGAAACAGTGGAAAATGTTGACAAAAAATGTTGAAAATGATTATTCATGTTTGAGGGTTTCCGTTGCGTGTGCTGTGAAAACCGTTCAAGAAACCAAAATATATGTATGAAATCATGACTTTTAAAAAAATGCGACGTTATATTTATTATTACTCACTAGAACCGTTTTATGGTAATAAAATTTTATCGAAATTTAATGGATTATTTTTAATATAATCTTGCAAACAATACCATTTGCCGGTCCCAAGTATTTTTATATATCTGGAAAGACAAAAACTTTTAGATTATATACATCTTGTTATGTTTTTGTGGGACGTTTAAATAACACGCTAGTCTGAAAGTATGGCATAATTATGTTACTAATCTACCTTCATAACACATCTAAACATATTATTTTTCCTCGTATCTTCACCGCAGGATAAGTTTTATAACAACTGTTAAATCTAATATTACACCCAGCTTTGATAAATAAAGATAAACGCTATCGTTATCGATTAATGAAATGTAAGCAATGTTGATTGTTAAGCTAATTAGAAGCAGGAAAATGTCGAAGGTAGAAGTACACTATTTCGATGTGCGCGGACTTGGAGAAGCAATTCGAACACTCCTGGCGTACGGTGGTGAGAAGTTTGAAGACATTCGGTACACAGATGAACAATGGGAAGAATTTCGTTCGTGTAAGTATGCTAGATTAGTTGAGTTATCAAGAAATTGTAACAGAAATTTGTTAGTTAATAGTTTTTCACTTAGATATGAGCCGGTAGTTTTAATAGTAATAAAAAATCACTAGCTGTGTCAGCGACTTCGTCTGCATAGAATAGTTATTCATCTTTTTATTTTTCATCTTTATACATTTTAGCTGTTACCCACGACGCCGTGCGCGTCCCGTCGTTCTTACAAGTTAATCTTAAAAAATAGTCGCGGACATTTTTTTAGATCTATAATAGGGAAAAGGAAACATTTGGTACAATTTTTGTATCTTGAACCGTTTTCGCAGCGTACGCAACGGAAACCCATAGAGATAAATAATTTTCCTCGTTTTTTTTTATATTTCCCGCCTTCACTTTGCTCCTGTTAGTCGGAGCGCGATGTTTTATAAAAGCCTTTCTCGATTAATGTTTTAATCAGCACAAACCAGTAGTTTCTGAGATTAGCGCGTTCAAACAGACAAACAAAGTCTTCAGCTTTATATATTAGGATAGATAAATCAAGATTTACTAGTCAGTCACTAAGATTTTGTATATTTTAAGTACATCTTACAGGTAAAGACACTTTAGAGGACTGTTTAAAGTTTAGTTAGTATTCCTTATAGACTAAAAAACTTACAAAGAATTTAACGCTGTTAATTATTAATTAAAGGAATATTTCTTTTTATAGCGACTCCATTCGGTCAGTTACCAATCTTAGTGATAAATGGTAAAGTCTACAGTCAGAGTAACGCAATGGCTCGATATCTTGGACGCAAATACGGCCTCGCTGGTGGAAGCGTTGAAGAAGAGTTCGAAATCGATCAAAACGTCGACTTCTTCACGGAGTTTCGAAGCGGTAATCTTCTTTAAAAACATCGTCAATTTGTCACCATGATTCAAGTAAAACTCTACCTTTTGGTTTCCTGTTCTCGTATGGGTTGTTAACCAACTGCGCCCGGACAAATTTAATTCAATAATATCATTTATTACCCCCTTTTGCCCTTTGAACAAAGACGCACATCATATAACACAAGCGCACTAGATAGACAATACAATTAGTACAGAAATCGTTTAAATAAAACACTTCAACGGTTTAAAACGCGATATTTTTTTTTAACTTTTTTTTAAATGGTTTTTTTCCTCCGCCCCCCCGGGGGGCTCGTGGGCTCAAAGCATCCGAAACGTCGGGCCGAAGTTAAAACTCATTTTCAAATATTTTTCACTAAATTTCTTAAAGCGTCCGTTTCAATAACCGGCAAGTGTTGACTACAGAAATCGTCTTCTGTCCCTGCCCGTTTCAATAACCGGCAAGTCGTTGATGCAGACTCCTACACCCCCCGCCCGCCCGAAAAAATCTATTGTTTTTCCGGGATTCAAACCCATATATCTGCAGAGATAGTTGAGCCTCTATATCCAAGTCTAAAAATCCAGATGCAAAAATCCACAGACTAAACCGCCGAATTACCTTAAACGACTTTTTCGTTTGGGTACAGTCGTTCGTGACAACGTAGCCACCGCCAACTACATTCAGATTTTTAGACGAACTTCAACATTGGTTAATAGAATTCCAGATCGTTGTGACAAACATGGTAAATTTATTGTGAAATGAACCTATGACTCGTTGACATACATTGGATCAACGAGTCATCAAAATAAGAATATTTCTTAGTAATATTTTTAGCTCGTTACCTCTTTCCATTACAGTTGACTGTAACTTGAACATGTAATAATTGACTTAGTCTAGATAATAGTTTCAGCTGATGCCTACTATGAAGAAGATCCAGAGGTTAGGAGTAAAAAAATAGATAAGCTATTCAAAGACACGGCGCCAAGAATGTTAAAAAAACTGGATGAAATTATAACCAGTAACAATGGATATCTTGCATTGGGAAAGGTATGATTTTATTTTATTAAGCAAGGAACTTGTGTTAAAATATTGTATGCAGATCTCATGATGGACTATTAAAATCTAAAACACGGAAAACTAAATTAGGTTAATTAATTTGAGCATTAAGATTAAATGTCTATTCTTCTTTGTTAATTATAATAGTTTTAAAAATAAAACTTATATTGATTCCTTATAATAGTATAAAATTTGATCGCGGCTGTTCGTGTAAGCCATCTGAAATGTCGGGTCATAGTTATTAGTACTTTACTATTCAAATCGGTTTTATTTAAATGTGTACTATTCAAGTAGATTGCATACTGATGTATTTTTTACAGCTTACTTGGGGCGACTTTGTATTTGCTGGAATTTACGACTACATAAAATATATGCTGCAATCACCAGATCTCGATGTGAAATATCCTAGCTTCAAGAAGCTGGTAGATGCTGTGAATACAATCCCTAACGTTCAGGCTTTCAAAGAAAAAGCCCCTAAAACTGACGTATAAAAACGTGCTTTAAATTCAAGAGGAATTCTTAAGAAAACACAAGATCTAACTAAGAAGTTTATAAAAATTACAAAAACTTTTTTTTTTTGTTAATTTAACAAGTACTTAGTATTTAATTTCATATAATGAAGGTTTTTTTAAGTGGACGGATTTTTTATTTCAACTCTTATATCTACTAATTATAATACAAGTTGTTATGTTACATGGGATATGTAATTCGACCCGGATGGAATCACATAAACAAATGTACTCTTACTTAAGTCTTACTTGTAAGACCTAGAATAATAACGATAGATTATTTTAGAAAAATGTAAACTATAAAATCAATCTTATACAAAAATTATTACTACGAACTATACTTATGCAAAAATGTCACATGATTTTAATCTTACAAGCAAATAGAAAAAAGGCTTTAAATAAATCATATTGGAGGGAATTAATTACCTTACATGCTAATACACATTTGCTTAAGGAATAATTTTTAATTTGTTTGAATAGGGAATAAAATTTTACATATAATTAACTAACCTTTTTTTCGTTTCTCTACAAGAATTGCATCTAATAATCATAGATTCTTAAATAATTTATGATTGTTAATACAAAATTAGTGTAGTGCTTTCTTTTATATTAATATTTCTCAATTTTTTTTGTGTATTCTTTGTTTAATATTATATAATTTTTGTCTGCATTAATATTATAGAGTAAAATCAGCATGATAAACAATTGAGAACATTAAGAAGGATTATAGAAGTAATGGATTTATAATCAAATTGTAATACATAAATCTACGTAAACTCTCATGTAATTTTAAGCAAAAAGTGATCTTCTTTTTATTTATTGTATATGCAAGCAAGTTCAGCTTTATTTAATGTGAATGAGTAAAAGTAATATATATTTTTAGTCCAAAGAAGTTTCTTTAGCTGGCAACTCAGTTATACAAATGTACAACCATATTTGTTTCATAGTTATAACTTATTTATAACTGTAGTTATAACTGAAACCACAAGAATAAAAAGTGAGGATGTGATAGATGATGTACCGTTACATTCATCAGACGAACAATAACAGTCTTCCCAGTACACTCCATTGTCATACACACCCCAATTACAGACACCTGTGACACCAGTTTCAGCAACAGATGCACATCGCCTTATTACTTGCCGCCATCTACCATCCCCTGTAATAGTTAATATTGTTTTAAAGTCAAAAGCCTATAATAAAAAAGCCTTTATAAGATATATAAAATATATATGGTACGGTTATGTGCTGTTATAAAAGAAAAGGTCAAATCATCTAGCCAATAGGCCTTGGTCAATAAAATATGTTTTCTCAACTGAAAACGAGACTAAGGAGACCTTTGAATAGTGTCCAAACATCTATTCCCACTATAGTTGTATGTAAGTTTATATAAATTGAGTGTACTTCATAAAAATCCCTTTTTAATATACACAGTCTAAAATTGTAAACAGGTTAAGCTATGCAAAAGCTTTTAATGTCATTTATTTAAGAAGAACATGAGAGCTTAAAGTTGCTCTAATGTGCTTTCACGATTTGTTTTATTTGAGCCGTAAACAATAACAAAATAGGATAATATCTGTTAATAATGGGCGTGGCACTAGCAAACATTATAGAAACTTACAGATAAATCCTTTTGGACCCTGATGTGTCCGCTTCATACAAAATGATCCTGGCATGTGAGATTCATCACTATTGCATTCCACAGCTATATGACTATCGGTATCAAACTTTTTATAAGCCCCACATGTATCTTCCAAAAGGTTCTGCGATGATGCACACTGATAGCATCTTACACAGAACACTGAAATAAAGAAGTTATATCTAATAATCTTCGTCATAATTATCGGGAAATTGTGTAAAAATTCCGTGTTAATATGTGTTTTGTACAAACCTGCAGCAGGAAGACTGCAAAGAGACAAAGTTATTAAAATGTTTCTTAGCATGTTTTAGTTTATTTTAAAACAGTGAAATGGTGAAACTGACCGCCTTAATTGGTTAATATTACATTAAACAGTTTTAGACTAAAATAAATGTGTAATGTAAAAAAAAATATCAAATCACCGTTTATTTACGAAATTAACTATGATGCTTAAGCTGAAACTTGAAAAAGTCAAAATAATGTTTAATCTGTCGGATGACATATATCTTGAAATATCTATTGTGTATCACAGAACATTTTAATAAAAAAATATGGAAATCAACATCATAATTTTTATATTTTTTCTGATTTAACTTTAAAAAAACTAAAAAAAGACAGCAAAACAACTTTAATCATAAAAATATATGATTACTTTGTAGTCTTCTGTCTAGGTACCAAATTCATAACATATTACTTATCTGTATTTTGTTAAGGTTCAAGTTATTGGTTAATTGTCACGTTATTCTATAAAATTATAAATAAAGATAAAACGACCTACATATTTTTGATACTACTCTCTTTTTTGCAATTAGCTGGTAATTTAACACGATGGGCTTATATTTGAAGTACTTTTTGTACATCTACTTCCTTCTCAACTTAATATCGACCGGTAAGTACTTAATATCGACCGGTATTTGTTTTTGAGTGGCAAATAGCCACTCAAAAACAAATATTTCTTTACCACCCGTTTGGTCACGCCCAAAGTTGTCCTTCGAAAGCCTTTAATTTTTAAAACATTCAAATTTTTGCGTAAATCAAGTGCAACGTCTTGCTTTTATTTATATAATTGTAGCTAATATCTGAATCAGAAACTTTCTTTACCCAAAACAACCTCTTATCCAAAAAAATTAAAGTTGTAGTCTTTAATACAAAGTTTGATAAGAATAAAATGTGTGTATTACACATTAAAGTGAGTTTTTAAATTGTGTGATAAAACGGATCTTTTCTGTTTAGCACTCAGCATCAAATGTTGGAACTGTAGATCTAGCAATGATCCAAAATGTGCGGATCCATTTGATAATACAACAGTTCCTATAACTGACTGCACGCAAGAAAAAGGATTAAGACATTTACCTGGCTTGAGGCCATCAATGTGCAGGAAAATAAGACAAAAAGGTAATTGAAAGTGATTTCTCTCACAATATTGATTAATTATGCCATAAGTATCAACCGCCTCTATTTAAATGGTTAAACGTGTTGCATAGCATTGTGTTAAGCGCGGGAGGTCCTGGATTTGAATCCCGGGGAAACAGTAAAATGTTTCAGTAGGGCAGGGCACAGAAGTCTGATCACCCATTTTGCCTGTAAATAAATTCATACTATCTTGTAGAATACGAGGCCCTGCATTTTGTAGTAGTCAGAATAAACTAACTAGTCAACTTTATTTGGGCCATTTTGGCATCTTTAGCTGACTAAAGATACTATGGCGAACTACTTAATTACATCTAAATAGAAGGGGTTAATGGAAAGATATCAGGTCACTTAAAATAACAAATTAAATAACAAATCTATTTATCCTTATTTACAAATTTAATTAATAATTCTAAATTAACCGTTTCAGTGAATGGTGAATGGAGATATATAAGAGACTGTGCTTATCTTGGAGAAGTTGGTATCCAGGGAGATGAAAGATTCTGTCTCATGAGAACTGGTACTTACAACATATTTGTGGAATATTGCACATGCAACAGCAAGGATGGCTGTAACTCAGCATCCCTTAAGTATGCTTCTTCTGTTTTAATATTCTTAGTAGGACTTGTTTATTATTTAACTGTTATGCCGTAAATGATGAAGTGAGCATATAAAAATATTTTGACTTCAAATAACCCAAAATGATTAGACTCCAATATTACGTCTGGTTTATTCTAAATAAAAATACTTTTAAACATCTTAAATGTAAATTATATTAGTTAACTTATTCTGTCCACCAGTGGTCAAGGTTGCTGCAAAGCATCTGAAACATCAAGCTGTAGTTTAAGTAAATTGTAAATAAGTTAACTAGTATATTTCGGTTTTTATACTGTCAAAAGTATTTTATTTAAATGTACTATTTGCGCAAATTACAGACAATACTTAGTTAACCAGTACATTCTGGTATGTACTATAAATTGTACTAGGCTTTTGCTGCTATTTCTTAAAGCTACTTGGTTTTCGGCATGTTTGACTGATTATATGATAAGGTTCTCGACACTCCGGTATAACTTTACTTGTACCTTGACTTAGCACAGACAAAGACAGTTGACCAGGTAGCAAACCCAATTCGCATTGGTATGTTTATTAAGTCATTTGAAACATTTAAATTGATATAATTCCTATATAAACCATCATGATGATGATTTAAAGCTTATAAGCTTTGAATATTTAGTGCCTTTTAGTAGATTTGTTGACAAATGTTATAAAGAAAAGGTATGCTAAGCACAATTTTTACATCTTTTACAGAATCTCTTTATACATTTTTACACAAATATTTTTTATTATGAATAATATAAAATAACAAATTTAAATACTTTTTGTTTACCCTTAAATAGTTTTTTTAGGTATAGCTCTAAGTTAACTCTACGACTCAAATATTTTTAAGTAGATATTGTAGTGTTTAATCATCTATTTCCGTACACCGATTTAGACTGTTGATTCTTTATATAATGATCTGATTACTGCCATATTATAAAAATATCATTTATTGTATGTACATTTTATGTCTTTACTCTTTTTAAAATTATTATGAGACTAAGTTCCGTCCAAAATTTAACAACCGTTGCAGTGCAGTGGTTGATAAATATAATTAGGTTTTTTAATAATGTTGTTTTATTTATGACTCCCTATAATTTATACAATATAAATGCGGATCGATGCGGAAACGAATCAAAATACCCAAAAAATATGCATAAAGGAATGATTTCCCTTTAAATTATCTAAAAAAATTACCGCGAACTTGCAAGAATGACAGTATGCGATCTTCGTCGTTTGTAACAGCCTAAATTTAAAATACATTCTAATGCTCAAAATAACAATTCTACGCGGACGAACTCGACGACACAGCTAGTATAAGATAAATCCATAATTATTGTTAACAAAAAACTTAATAAAACAATGATATTACCAACTTTTGAGGCTCTGTTGGTACATTAACATCTGTCCATCCGGCGGTTAAGGATGATTAAAGAAAATGACAAAACACTTTTTCACAAGATTTTTATTAAACAATATTATCAATTACGGACAAACAGTTTGTACTCTTCAAATATACATAAAATTAATGTCGTTATTGGAATTCATAGAATCAAAACGTTAAAAATACACAATTCTAAAACTACGGTACAACCTAGCTACAGATCTTTGAAAAATATGTATTTGTGAAGTATTGCACCTTTTGTTATGTACATAGCACACAATTATTTACTGTCGGTATTATGTATATGAGCAGTTAGCTATGTATTGAAAATGTTAGACTTACATTATAGGATCCAAAAGATATCAGCCTATTTAAGTAATGGAGTTTTTCTTAATCTCTTAAAATACTAAGCTAATACAAACCCATAACCATTTACTTCAAGTTAAAAAGTCGTTGTTATACTTAGAGTTAATTCTTAAGATAATGTTAGTGAGAAAGATCAAATTTTGAAAATTATTTAGGTAAAGAGGAAATGTAACAATTTTAGAATATTCAGAAAATAATAACAAAGTTTACGACACATATGTGGTTCAATTGTTAAAAAGTAGTGGTTATGTTAACTACAGATCCTGTCCAATTTTGCCCTTGGACACGTATGGACGTTTGGACAATTGAAAGTGACAATCTTCACGGCTTCTACTTAATATTTTTTATACGAACTTTCATTTAATTTGTTTTGTCTGTTATTTTCATTGGCTGGTACGGTGGGACCTTAAGCTACGAGGAATTAAAGTTACTTAAACAGAGCTAAGCTCAACGGGACAAGGAGTAGAGCGAGCGTCTTGCCAATTGCGCCCGCGCCGTTACAACCGTCATAGTCGCAGGTCTCACAGAAGATCGTGACTTCGTTAGGGCCGTTGGAAGCCGCTGGGCAGGTGCTGGAGTAGTCATCTTGACGCTTCCATGTGCAGCCACGAGAGATGACAAGCTGTCCGTTTACTGAAAGACGAATTATATAGCTATGAATATTTAAAATAACGTTTAAAATAAGGAAGAAAGAACGCAAGCGGTTAAGTAACACCTAACATTTGCCGCTATTTCTTATCTACAAGTTGTTCGCAAAGGATAAGGTGTGTTTGACACAGATTAGTAATTTGTCTGGAAATAGTATTCACAAGCTTCGAGAACGCAACTGTTTTGCAATGTCATTTTGGTAAGAATTTTATTAAGTGAAAAAAAAACATTCGGTGATCTTTTTTAAAATCTTTTTTCTTGTTTGAAACACGTATTTTTTGTTTGTTTTTATGCCTAATATATTTGTTGTTTTACCGTCTACAGAAAAAGATTATTTATTTCAAAGAGGCTTTTTAATTATAAGTAACTATCTCTTATATACCTATCACTGTCTGGTGCCCTATGGACCATCGAAGCCTACTAGTACTCGTACGTAACTCTCGAACAGTAAGACATTTATGATCGTCAGTAAACTTATTAATGGCGTGTATAACTCAGTAAATACACAAATCGTAAAAAACTAATTTTAAAAACTTGTGTAACCAAGAAAATTAGCACGCAATAAAGTGACGCAATATATCCGTAATTAACTAAATACGTGAGGAAATAGGTCTACCTCAAGATGATAATAAACGATGAATCACAAAGCAATATTTGTATCAACATTTGGCGTTGACAAGGTCGCTAGGTACAGCGTAGGTGGAACAATTACAGAAGTGTTTGAAGGTAAGACAATTCTATGAAATAACATACTTTTACAGTTTTTGTTCAACAAGGCTGTTCGTAAACTTAACAAAAACTAACAATATGCCACGCTTAAGTGCGGCAAGGTTTGTCACGGAATAATTTTGGGTTCTCAATAAAAATTCAATTAAGCATGACAAAACTGGATGATTAAATGTATTAAGCTTGAATAGCACAGTAAAATCCCGTTTCCCCCCGAGGGAAAAGGGCGAACAAATATTTTTACTTTTATAAGCGGTTCAGATCAGATTTCTGTGTCCTGCCACACCAAAGACTTTTTTGGGATTCGAACCCAGAACAACACGCGAACGCTTATAAATTATAGCTTTGAACCTCGCGTCTCATCTTTCTCTACAGGTAATGTCAAAAGATATACCTAAATGTATTGTCATGGATATTTTTTTAGATCATTTAAGTAAGAATCATTTTTCATACATATTTTTTGGTTTCTTTGACCGTTTTCGCAGTTTACGCAACGGAAGCCTTCAAAGATGAATATTTTTTCCACATTTCCCTCCATTTCTTCATTCATAATGGTCGTAGCCAATCTTAAAAACTTATCCTTCCGCGATAAGTGGTCCAACCAACACAAAGAAAATCCGATTCGAAACAGTTGTTCCTGAGATTAGTGCGTTCAAACAAACAAACTTTTCAGCTTTAAAATATTAGTATAGATAATAATGTGCTACCGTAGAAAATATCTCTCAATTACTATATAAATAAAATACCTTAATTGGTTTTAACATTGGCATTTGAACCTATCAACCCAAAGGATTCAAAGGCCTTAAAATTGTAACAACTGTGCGACAATGTGACCGCGTGACATAATTAGGACAATTATAAAGAACAATAGAATTATTAAAATAGGATATGTCATACGACCTTCATTCTTAGCGTAAGAATTGTTTGCTAAAATTGCGACTTTTTTATTCTTCTTTATACTTAAAAGATACCTGAGTCATACTGTATACTGTCCGCGACCCGTTGAAGAAGTTGGGTTGCTGCATTGCCGCTGGGTTGACAAATTTTTGTGTCCGTTTCATGGATCGGCATATATGTCATAGACAATAATACTAAGTCTAGAATTCGAATCCTGAATCACACACGTCCTTTTAAAAACTACTACTTCAAACTCTACTTACTTATTTTCTTCTGCTTTTTGCATGCGGTTTTAGACTGCGTGAGGTATGGGTAAGTGGCTCCCGCATTCGCGTCACAGTTCTCCAACCGGAAGTAGCCAGGATTGAGAGACTGCCCTGGCAGGAACGGGTCATTGCAGTCTGGTTTCGTCGGGTCTAAGTCCGAGGAACACGACCAGCATCGGACGGCTTCACCTGGAATTTTTTTTATCTTGAGTACTGTCTTTAGTTTACGTAAGTATTACACATTTAAATGAATCAGTTTAACGGTTTAAAATGAGAAATATAATGTAAAGCTTATTTGAAAGAGATTTTAACTACGGCCCGACGTTACGGATGCTTTGCAGCAGCCGTGGTTACGGGGTGACACCCGGCCTAATATATATCGCGTTTAAATGTTAAACCGTTGAAGTGTTTTGTTTATCTTTTTCATAAAAATAAATAACGTTAGTAACAGACCGATATATTCATTACGATAAATAGATAAGTATTTGTAAAATAGTGTTACGACAAATAATCTATATAATTTAAAAATCGAAAATAAATTGAAAAATTTTTCGACTCGGGCAGGACGTTGTTTCGATTTTTAAATTATATAGTGCCTTCATGTGAAACATGAAGGCACATGTAACATGTGAAAAATATTAATGTTTTCAAATAATTTATATTTGAAGTAGCCCGTTATAGTATAAGATATAATAATTTAAGATTTTAAATACGGAGGCTGTACATGTCACTGTATAAGTTAAGCTTATTCGTTCGTGAAAAGCCTTCATTTCAAGTATTGTTACAATAAGGTAATATAAAGTAAATTTAATGACATTGAAATGATATTTAGTATTCCGCGATCTTTCCTTGTTTCAAGAACAGACATCTAAAATAATCTTTTATAACGCTCAAGCTAATTCAATTTGCAGTAAACAAAGCTAGATTTGTCTAGATATAAACAATTTACAGGAACGTGATATTAAAGTCAATTGCAAGTAAATAGATTCACATGAGTGGTAACTATCTACCTATTGTTATGTTGACAATAAGTTTTCTCACAAGGTATACATATGTAGTACTAGCTGATCCGACAAACGTTCCTTTGTTCGGAAAATTAATATTATTACCACTACACTAATCTATAACATAAATAAAGCTGAAGAGTTTGTTTGTTTGTTTGAATGCGCTAATCTCAGGAACTACGGGTTCGAATATAATTTTTTTTTTGTGTTGATTAGAGCATTTATCCAGGAAGGCTATAAAACATCGCGTTTTGTTAATTCGAATAGAATAGTTCCTAAGTTTAGCACGTTCAAAGAAACAAAAATAACTCTTTAGCTGAATAAAACTTGGTTTAGATTTAGTGTAGAATTATGCTAGTGAAGTTTACATCAATAAGCTGAACCGACCACGCATGTGGTGGGCAAATAAAAAATCCCCAAGATGATTTTTTTAAGACCTTCCTTAGACACAATAGAATATTTTTATATCAAGGTAACTCTTAACGGTGGATGATCGTTAATTGTCCATTCGCGACACGCTGAGGTGGAACCAACATGGTAAGTACTTCTACAATATTATATTTTAATTGTAAGACGGAAGAAAAACTTATATACGTGATTACTTGAGAAAACAACGTTGTCAGCCTTCAAAATTGGTTTGGCAACCTACATTCAAATTTTATCACAGTCAAAGTTGCTTAAAATAATAGTAAAGTCTACTATTCTTACCTTGCCAATGGCATACGCTACTGAAGACGCTACTTTGTTGCCGACCTTATGAATATGTACACACTTTGGGTAATTCGAGCCTACGAGTGTCAATATGCTAATATTTCATATGCAAACAAAATTTGGATTCCGTTTGCATATAGTTTTTAACGACAAACAAATGCCAGAGAATATAATAGAAATAATAGTTATCGCATAAAGGTATTAGTTTACTAGACTAAGTCTTGTATGTAATAAAGTATAAATAATATACATAAGTATCTGCTAAATTGTAAAATAATATATTATGTTTTAAAGGTTTCTTCCTAAATACCGTTTAGTCTTTTAATTAAAACATTTTTAATGGTTTGAAAAACGAAGTATATTAGTAAACTTATTTTCAAATTAATTTAACTAGGGCCCACGTTTTGGATGCTTTGCAGCAGCCGTTAAATTAAAAATAAGTTAAGTAATATATTTCGCGTTTTAAACCGTTAAAAGCCTTTTATTTAAATGTCTACTACTCGCGTATCTACAGACAATACTTATCTTGTAGACTGTCTGTTGTAAGCATATACACATATGTTTAAATACATAAAGATTCTATTTATAGATCATATTATATTCACACAAACATACGTCGACAATATTTTCTCCAATTAGACAAAACAGTCACGCGCAAAACGGTAAACGTATGGAATTCAAGCAGCGAGGTCTCAGAATTTGACTTCTTTGAGGTTCACGTCACCGAAAATCTTCGCCTGCCAAGTCTCCATATTAACACCTTCGTGTATGAATATTCATCGTTGTTTTCAACGTCGAGTTTCTCACGTCCAAGCAAAATGAAGTCATAAGTTTGACACGCTCGCTCTAATATTAATTATTTTGTTTTGCGAACATTGCGTATAGGGGTAATTATTACCTTTTTGACTGGTTTTTTGGTTTAAGTGAATAATTATGTCAAACCGTTTAACAACGATGTATATATATTTTTTTAATTGGGCAGAGGAATTTATTTATTTTAAGCAAAAGATATAGAATGTAGCCTTAACAATCACATAAAGTAACTGATAATTTTAAAAATCTAAACATGTTTAAATAAAACCCTTTAATACAAATAAAATGCTTGAAGTTTTAAATGCCAAATTATTATGACGCATAGGTACTATTATGATGACCAAACCTGCTGCAAAGCATTCAAAATGTCGAGGCGTAGTTCAAATAGATTTAAGTAAATATTCCGCGTTATAAACCGTTAAAAGTGTGTTATTTAAATGTGTACTACTCGCGTAGCGTACGTTATTATAACAACTGATGTATATATTTTTTGATTGTGATGTAGAGGATTAGAAAAAATGTTTATCGGAGTTTAATCCTGTAATTCGACAATGTCGCCTTGTAAATACTATGATTAAAAATCGAAAATAAATAGAATATTTTCGGCTCGGTCAGGTTTGAACCGGCATCGTCAGCGTTCCGTGCTTTTGCTCTAACCAATTGAGCTACCGAGTCCCACACCTCATTGTCGAATTTTTTCAACTAACTGATACATACCTGTCGCGCAATTTCGATTATAATAATCTATAGTGCGATCATGTACAATAAAATGTAACAAATATAAAAGTTAAATTTAAAGAATGTTGCTGACGGTGACTCACGTAAATTAAATACCTCGTTTAAGAATTAATTTGATCGTTACGTGTGCTAATTGTTATTGTATTTAGTGACTAACATTTGTTAATCAACTTTTCGTCAGACCTTAAATTTTTATACGCAGAGGTACGTTTCTTTTAAATATAGATAACACCGGTTACATCTGCTATTTTGTAAGCATTGGTTCGGAGCCAATTTAACGACGTCACGTATAGAATATTTTAATATTTTATTGACCTGTACTTAGTTTATGAACTATGACGCACTTCCTATGTACCTAAAGACACAGATTTTTTTTTATGACAGAGGTGGACAGTCTCTGTCAGGGGTTCGCATGGTGAATACCGAAGCCATATAAACACCTTAATAAGGTGCGCTCTCGATCGCGTTTTGGATATTCGGAAATGCACAGACTGATCGTGGTTCGTGACCTGGACCGATTTTTCAATATTCCTACCTCATATTAAACATCTGGATTTCCAAACGAAGTCCAATATGTTTCAGAAGAAATATAAAATTAGAACCATGTTGGACACGGTGGGGATCGAACCCATGGCCCGTTGATTATTAATACAGTGCTACCAATAGAGAACATGACTTTGAATTCTCATTTACGGTCCCTATTCAAATAGTCGACCCAAAAAGCAAGTTTCTTACAAAAATGCTTACAACAATTAATCACAAAGTACAATATTATCAATTCGTGTTGATGCCGCTATGGTACAGTTTGCCAAACAACTGAGTAATTCTACGAAAAGGTACTTTACGGTTCGTGCTTGCCAAAACTTCATATAGATAAAACGATGATATTTTAAGAATATTATTTCGTTTTAATAATTGATAATACACATGGTATTATGATATGTTTTTATATATTTGCAATAATACCATATCCTATGTTAAATGGAACTAAAAAGAATAACGATTAAATTAATTTTTCGTTAGTTTTTTCGGGATTAGTTTGTAGAAGAGTTTGGTTCGTTTATCATATCTAGTAACCGTTGTTCAATCCCACCGAACCGCATTGGAACAGCGAGGTAGGTTTAAAGCCTAAACTAAAAACCTGTCTCTCCTAAGGGATATCCTGTGCACCGCGGTATGTGGGACATTGATAGGTTGAAACAAGCATAATACAGTTTAAGAAAGATAATTTTGATAAGTATATGTATAGATATACATTAAAAGAAAATAAAAAAGATATGTATGAGAGACTCTTCTTTAAATGATGTAAGAAAATGTCCGCGACAGTATATGCCTATCTTTTAAGATCAACTTACAAGAACCGTTCTTATGGTAATCAAATTTCGTCAAAATATTTTACAGATCGTTTGCCCGCTAGTCTAAGATACAATATAAAATAATGCCGTCTGCGTCACTAATTAGATTAAGCCATGTTCATTCAAAAGAGCAATTTGTCCCCTTCCTGTATAAGACCCTTAATGTTATTTCATTTATCGTGTAATGCCTTGTTATTCATTGACATCCTAATAGATGACAGACATAAGCGACGTTAAATAAAACACTTTCAACGGTTTAATACCGAAGCTTTATGCCTTACTTAATGTTAAATAGGTTAACTTAAAATTTCGCGATTTAAACCGTCAAGTGTTTTATTTAAAAAATCGCCGTTGTTTATTTGATTTAGTGTTTTTTAACTAAGTCAACACCACCCGCATTACGAATTGTGCCCATTGTAATATGGACTAGTGATAATTGGATAGTTATAATAAGTTCTTTTATAGATCCCACTGTTGGGATTGCGGTGTGAGAGATTTGTAGATGAATTTTTGGTTCTAGCATGCGTGCTTGTTTGTTCAAGATTTTCTTCAACGGAAAGTACATACT